ATATTAATATTTTATTGAAAGTTAATACCGCGCGCGATTATAATTATTCGCGAGTGTTTTTTTGCGAGGTGTCCTGTACTGCGAGGACATCCGACGACCCGACCTTGAGAGGAGGAGGAGACCTAGGAGAGGCATCGGGCATCGGCGGAGCAACCTTGGGGTAAATATACATTTCTTAGTAAAATTAAAATTAATCATCTCTGCATTAATTTGGATCATTAGGTAGCGATAATTTAAAATTGGTATAATTCGGGAATGAGAGAAATTATTTAAAATTTTATATGAGTTTATTTCTAAAAAGACCTTTTTTGAAAATTATGTAATTATTGGAAATGATTTTTGAAAATTATAAATTATATATTTTAATAAATATTTAATTGAAAAACAAATCGATTTTCAAATTACATTGTTTATTGAATTTATCAAGTTATTATATTCGATAAATTTGATGCATGTACAATAACTAATATTTACAGTTTATATTGATATAATAATTGATATAATAATTTACAATTATATATCGCACAATACTAAAATACGATTATGCGGGAAATTCACTATCCCCGTTTGGATCTCGTATCATTCATTTGAATATTTCATATCATTCTCACCTAATTCATGGTGAGATTCATATAACGGTTTCGATTATACGGGAATACTGGCGTAATAATATGGACTTTAGAGTTTTTGATTCGGTCAAATATTATTGATTAAATAGTTTACAATTGTTTTTATTTTCATTTATCTATTTTTACGCAATATCATTTAACTTCCTCAAATTTTATTCTGATATACAACCAAGTTTCATTAAATTAAATCGAAAAGTAATAATTAATGTCGATATATGAGAGTTTCTATAAATTTTAAATTGATTATTAATCATCCGTATTTTAAAGAAACGATTTTATTAAATTAACATTATGCCAAACGTTGTTTCAAATTTTGTACCTTGTTAATATTTGAATGGCCCTTGCGATCGATAAGGTTTCATGATTGACGCGTGCGATAAAATCGAATGTATCTATCGGCATTAGTAATTAGCCGGAATAGAAGAAATATCTCTTCTTCCTCTCTCTATATATGGCTAGAATGTCTGGCTAAATGGCCAGAATTGGCATGGAGCAACGTGGCCAGGAGCGACAAAAGATAAGTCCAATCTGGCTTGAAGAACAACAACTAAGCAATAATAAGCAAGGATTCGGCG